GAAGGGAAGGCTAGGAATGGGGAAAAAATAAGAACCAAGATGCATCATGCAAAGGTACAAGTTCCCAATGAGAAATGTAAATGTGTTGTATACCTAAAATGTACCAATAAAAGAATTTAAGAAAAAAAAAAAAGAATCCACTGGCCCTTGTATCCTGAACGCACTTCTGACCTAGGCAGGATTCCAGAACATCATACACTGGACACTTAGAGAAGATTAGTTCAGCAAGTTATTTAGTTCTTCCAAATGTGGAAACACTTCATTACACGATGTTAAAAAAAAAAAAAAAATCAAAGTTATTCTTCCCAAGACTTCAACCTCATCATAAATGCTATCAAGCTCATGGTGGCGGATACTTTTCTAATTTCCTAGTTTTCATCTGAAAGTTGAATTTTATCATTAGCAATAAATTCTGTCAGTTTATCCTGAAGTAACAGGCATGACTCATCATTTAAAAAAAACTACCTGCCATTTGGCCTGGTGGTGCACTCCAGTAATCCTGGCACGCAGGAGGATTGCCCCAAGTTTGATGCCAGCCTGGGCTACACAGTGAGTTCAAGGCCAGCCTGTGCTACATGGTGAGACCCTGTCCCCCAAAAAACCAAAAAAAATGAAACTGCCTGGCACATACCCAAGTTTGTCACTTCTTTCAAATAAAATTGGTGCTCCATGAAAAGAAAGGAACTAGTTCAGTTCCAATTCAAATAATTACACAAAGGCCTGAAATTACCATCACTCTCTGACATGCAATAAACGTTCTTCACGTTTCCTATTTTGTTATGAAGAATATTAGATGTACATATTCTCAAGGGTGCAGATGTAATAAAAATAATTTCTACTGATTAACACAGCTTAGACATAGTACTTTTTAATTTCTTTCCTGTTTTTATTTATTTATTTACGTTTGAAACAAGGTCTACTACATAGTCCAGGCTGGCTATGAAACTCTTAACTCAGGCTGGTCTCAAACTCATGATCCTCCTGCCTCAGCCTCCCTAGGCTGGGATTATTGGCATGGCACCACCACACCCAGCTCTTTCCTAGTTTTAGGGCCCAATGGATTGCCCAGGAGCACAGTGTGGTACCTGTTCTGATCTGGGCTAAGGGGCCAGCATTTCATCCACCACGGTTTCTGCAGCAGCAATGAAGACGCCAATGCAGTGGGTAAGCAGCAGCTAACGTAAAGGTGGTATGACTCAGGGGTGCCTGTGAAGGTTCCAGGGTCCCGGGCTTGGCCAGACACACCCCGGGCACGGCCCTCAGGCTATTGCAACTGTTCTGAGTCACACCCATCACCTTCTGGGCCAGAAGTCAACCTGGCACAATCAGGCTTCACAAGGTGAGGCCTGCCAGCAGGACACTGTGTCAGGCGCACAGGCCGAGGGATGGCGGGCACACTAGCACTCACCTTCCTGGGGGGTGTGGCCACGACCTGGGGGAGTGAGATGTGCAGGTAGTCATCCGGGTGGCAGGGCAGGGCTGGAGGAGGGGAGGTTGCGGGGGTCCCCAGAGGAGTTCCTTTTCCACCTGCTCAGAGATAAGGGCAAAATACGTGATCCACTGAGCCCAGCTGTCAGAAAAGCTGCCAATCCTTTCTCAGCCTAACTCTTACTGCAAATAAGGCTTCTGAGTTAATTTCCTGGGAGTCTAGATCTCTCCCCCGCACCCTGTTCTTCTTTTTCCCCTGGGTTCACTTTATTCATTCTGAAAACCCCAAAAGTTTGCACTAAGTGCCAAAAACAAGTTCAAAAATGCAAGTGATACCTCTCCCCGCAACTCACTATGAGAACTGAGACTAAAGTACAGGCCCAAACCAACCATGAAATCTAAGATGTACATACCGGCTGTTCCAAAGACTTTACTGTACGAGTGTGACAGGTCAGGTGGGACATTTCCAGGAGACGTCGGGGGGGTGGTCATCCCACAAACCATGGATGGGCTCCAAAGAGTAGCCTGGGAAGTAAATGAAGTCCATCAGCCGGGCAAATTAACAGTGTTTCCTCCACATGGCTTCGGTCTAATATTGTTTAAATTTAACCTTTATTGTGAGACAGCTGGTATTCTGTACATCTAGACTCCAAGGTGCCCGTGTGGCAACAGCACACTTCTCTGCTCATGGTAATCACCCTTGGAAGGGCCTCCTGAACGCGTGGTGTGACACGCTCCCGACCACATACTAAATCCCTCCCGACCCACGCGGTCAGCTGCACCGGGAGGCTGAGCAGAAACAGGCACACTGCTTGGCACCATACTTTTGGCGGCTCAGGTAACGGCCGTGTAGACGGGAAACTCGAAGGGTGAGCTAGCTGCCCTGGCGTACTGAACAACGTCAGCCGGGAGGCGGAGCAAGGGGTGGAGGCAGCATTCCCTGAAAGAAAGGGAAGAACAAAGGGGGTCAGAATGTGGTTTCAGATTATTCTGATTAGGAAATGCTGGTCCTCTAGACCATCCTATAATACGCCCTCCTCTGTATTTGTAAAGTCTGAGGGGGTTCCCAACATCCTTGGGTCTAAACTAGCAACATTTAGAAAAGGTTCTTTAAATGCTCTTTGGCACAGCAGTCCAGGGGTGTGTGACATGGATAACCTGAAGGGCCACGGCTTCAGTGGGAACAGCCTACAGATAGATACTAATTTAATACAAATCCAGCTCTAACCTAACCGGTCCAGCCCATTGGGCCTCTCGTTACATGTCTAGAAAGTATAGGTTTCCTTAGACAGGTACTTGGCCTTCAAGTACTTAGAGCCACTCTTTGTTAAATGCTGAGGATGAGTGGCCAAGTCAATGGACATTCTACCTGGCTGGAGATCAAGGACGATTAAACTTGAAGGAGAACATCATCAGAAGAAAATGGAGGCAAATTCAAATTTAAAATATTTGGGGGAAAGTTCCTAGGAAGTAAACTAAGCCCTGCTCTAGGAAATGAACATTAAGCCAACAAACATAAACAATGTTTTCCAGAGATAAAGTTGCAAGAGAGGTAAGTACCAAAGTCTCTTTTTACCATAGCTATTCTGTGTGTCAACATAAGGGCTGGTGGTGACATCCATGGGACGCTGAGGGAAGCGGGTGGAGAGCTGGTGAGACACAGAGTAGCCATCTTCATATGAGGCTTCTGTAGGGTCCAGAGAGATTTTGGCACACTCTATGACAACATCATGAGTTTCTAATTTCTTCCACCTAGAAAGGGGAATGAAAGTCAAGAAAACCAAATGGAAATCCATTTACTCACATCGCGTACTAGAGGGCCAACTCAGAGCCAGCCCCAGGCCCATGGTTTGCAAAGCCCAAGGCAAAAAAAGCATACCAGCCCCAGTGCTAGTATATGAAGAATTAGCCATTCATCCTGTAAAATCTGTACCTTCCCATTGAAAATGGTTGTATCAAGGTAATAGAAACTAATTTGAAAGACAAATTTCATCAATAAAGACTAGGCATAGCCTCAATACAGCAAACTGCAGAGCAGCCAACCACCAAGGGAACATCTCCTTCAGAACCAAGGTGACCAAGGCACAGGGAGAGCTGGAAAGCAGCAGGCAGATGAAGCCGACTTGGGTCCCTACCAAGGCCTCGGGGTTCTTTTAATCCACCCTTGAAGCAGAGTTAGTGCCGAAAGACTAGAGATCACTTAAAGAACTGCCAGGGATTTCTGCTGTGTGAGCCACAGCTCTACTTCTGGTCATTTGTTCTACAGAAAGATATGCATCAGGAGGTACATCCCTGCAGGCCAGCACAGCTCATGAGAGACAGGAAACGAGCCTAAGGACAACCAGAGGAATATATCCTCCGGAAGCAGTGTTAGCACACCTCCATGAAAAGTGGGCTTTCAACAAGTCAGTGTTGCCAAACGCAGAAGGGGAAAGAACTTTCGGGGGCTGTGGACATGTTCTTTATTGTGACTGCAACTTTTGTCATAACTTAGCCAAACTGATTAACATTTTCCTATGTAAGTTATATGTTATAGCAAAGTTGATTTAAAAAATAATATAATTTAAAAATATTAAAAGATGTAAAATGTTCAGAATACAATCATAAATTTAAAAAAGGATACAAAACTCTTCAGAGACATGCTCACAAACAGACCTGACAGTGTTAAGGGTTCAAATTGAAGAAAGGGAAGCTGGGGCTATGGCTCAGTGGAGAGCACCTGCCTGTCATCGGCAAGGCCCTGGGTTCGCTCCCCAGTGCCCAAAACAGAAGAGAACTGGAATTAGGGACAATGTTCATTTGCTTCTTTCCACTCTTCAGTATTTGCCAAGTGCTCCATAAAGGCCCTAATAATTACCAGAACATTGAAAATACGTAAACTCCCTTTGAGACAACACAGCTTTCTGTCTATGTCACTAAGGACTCAGTAACTCCACCTGGGCCTGAAGGTGCCCCAAGGGTTCACCTCGATGAAACACGCCACCCACACAACTGTTGAGAATGCTCATCAAGTCTTACAGGCTGAAAATGTGCGAAAGCGCAGAAATGAGAGCGTTGGGTGTGGGGAGAACACAAGGTAGCTTCCTCAGCAGCAAGCCTCTCTCTCAACTTCCGGGTCACAGCAGGGTCTGGTCCCGTGGTTATGTGCCACCCCACATGTGGCCCTGTCCCCGTGCTCAGCACCACTGTAAAGTGACCCAGTGACAGCAGGAGTCAGGATGCGTATGTGCACAGGAAGACTGATTTCAGAGAAGACAGTGAAAATCATACTGAAGAGGGAATACATTGAAATGTTTTAATTAGTTATATATGCAATATATTTCCTTAAATCTTACAGAGAATTTTCAGTTTCGGGATCTCTAAAATTGGGGACTACGGTTTAATCAGCTGCATTAGTTGATTTGGCACTGTTTCTGGCATTGTTAAAATGTACATAAAAGGCAAACACATCCCACATGCAATGGCGTCTCAGAGTCAATGAAACACGGTGGTTTAAAAAGGACCGTGCCAGAGGGTAACCCCAGGTCTCCACGCCAACAACTGTGACCCAGATTCCAATGCTGGTAGCTGGCCTGCTACGCTCCCCCGTTTCCTACGAGTGTGTGCTAGGGCTCATCTCCACTTTGTGAACTTCAGGCCTCATCTATTCACTTCCTTTTAGAGTAGGCCAGGACTGAGGTCTCTGCCACAGATCCTTCCCTCTTCCAGCGTTCTCAAAGAAGCACATCCTCGTTATTGTTACTTTCAAACCCCATTTCAACAACCACCCAGACTACGTAGGTGTGACTCATGGCTGAGCCAGAGAGCACTGAACATTTTCTCTCACTGGGTTTGTACTGGAGTTTTAGTTTTTCTACCTTGTCCTTAGTTTTCTGTGTAACCATTGCTAGTTCTTCCTAATCTTATTCTAGCAGTTCTGAAACAACGCCTACTATAAATTTTACAAAGAAATGCAGAAACCTTCCAGGTACAGTGCCCTCACCCCTTGTGGGCACCTCCTGGGGTCTGGGCTTCACCAGGACACAGGCGGCTGTGTTGCTGCCATCCCAACACTTACTCGCCCTGACCCTAACTCAGGTCCTCAGCTTCCCGGACTCTGCGTCTTCCTCCTCCTTGGTCCTACCCTAATTTTGGCAGAACACATGCCTGTGGCTACCGTGGGATATATGGGAGGTAAATCTGAGGCTGTGCCTATCTAAACCTACCATATACCTGTCGGGCAATTTGGCTGGAGAGAGGATTCTAAGTGGAAAGCCTTTTTTCTCATTTTTAGAAAGGGTTTCAGAAGCTGACACCGCCCTAATTTCTGATGCGTATTAAGTGGTTCGGCTTTCTAGCTCTGAAGGATTTATTTCTGTGGTATTCTGAAACTCACAGTACCGAGATGTGGCATTGTTTTGTACTGACCATGCTGTTCCTTAGGTTAGGTCCCTTCTGGAGTCTCAGGCCTTTCAGCTCTAGGAAATGTCTTCCTGTTATGTCTTTCACAATTTCTTCTTACACCAAAGCTTTCTCTCCTTTTCAAACTTTTTAAAATTGGATGTTGGACTTCCCACACCGATCAGGTTGAATCTGCTCTCCTATTACCCATTGCTATCCTTTGGTTCAGTTTTCTGATAAGCCTCAACTTCATCTCCCAATTCTGTGGCTGAAATGTTTACCCTGGCTATCGTTCTTAATTTCCAAGAGCTTCACCAGTCTCAGCATGGTGCTCTTTTGTGGCATCCTGATCTTTCCACTGTCGATGGACAAGCGCCGTGTCCCTGTGCTACTGCAGATACTTTCCCTGATCTCCGTACTATCCGTCGCCACTCCCCTTTCTCCTCATGTTGGCCTGTCTTCACATCAGAGCTCTCTCTCAAACCCAGATGCCTTGCCTCACTTCAGCAAGCACAGCACCAGAAGCTGAAAGGAGGTGGCCTCCAAGTGAGTAAGGCAGGCTGGACAGTTGCACCCAACTCCCCAAATCCCACCAGCTGGGATCTGTCTGTTCATGTTCAAATACAGACCCACAGGGAGGAGAACAGGGTGGCACCACACGTGTTTAAAACTGGAGAGCAACAGGCGAATGATGACTGACCAAGCCGAGAAAGCGGAAGCCAGGCAGCCGGTGCTTCAGTGGCGGGTCAGCCAGCGGATTCCTTAGACGCTGAGCACCGCAGCATCCAGAGGTTCTGGAACTGAGACGAGCAGTGAGCGGATGAGGACCACTGACACGTGCAGACAGGGTGAGACTGCTGGAGGCATACTGAGCACCTGAGGCCCTTTCCCAATCCACACTCCCACGCAATGGCTCTTTTCTCGCCAGAAATCTGCATTACTCTCTGGAGAGAGTAAAGTGAGCTTCTAGTCGAGGTTTCCAGCAGAGAGGAGAGGAATGCTTTCCAAACAAGGGGACAAGTGAACACACATTCAGAATGCCAAGACTGCTGAACCCTCCTCACCACCAGCCTCTTCCCCAGTGGCAGCCAAACCTTTACCAGGTGGAGATCAGAAGACTTTCCCACAACCTGAGCAGCTCAAGAAGAAAACAACACTGACGCCAGCGCCTCCTCCAGCTGCTCAGGTCCACACACAGTGCTCAGGGCCAACAAGTGCCAGCCATGCGCAGAGCCTTCAGTTCCCCCACACAGCAGATCACCCCCATACACAAGCAAACTGCCAAAGCCTCCAAGATTTAAAAAGAACAAATGCAAACAAAAAAGAAAGCAGCTTAGAGTGGCACCGTGCCTGCCTCACAAGCACAAGGTCCTGAGTTCGATCCCCCGTACCGAAAAAAAAAAAAAAGGAAAGCAGCTTAGAAGAAATGAACTACGTAGGAAAACAAAACAATAAAAAAGGCAACATACATAAAGACACAAGAGATCGTGCTGTCTGAAAACAGCTCTTAGATATGAAAAACATGGTACAAATGACAACTATTACAGAAGGAGTAAAAGCTAAAGGAAAGCTGGTCTGCAACAGAGGAACAAAAGATAGAAGGAAAAAAATAGGAGAGGGAAGGAGAGCAGGGAGGACCCAACCTCAATCCTGGAAATCCTGGCAGAAAGACAGAAAAAAACAGAGGGAAGGAAAACAAGCAAACAATAATTCAAGATTTCCTAGAATTTAACAGCTTCTAGGTTGAACAATAAGAGCAGACTCACACCAAAAACACCACGAGAAAAATCTTACAATATCATGTCAATAAATAACACTGTACAAGCTCCAGTAGAAGAAACTACAGAAAATACAGAGAATCGGAATCAGAAGGCTTTTGGTTTCCACAGCAACACTGGCTGTAAAACGGCAAGAGGACAGTGCTTGCAGTTACTCCATGAGGCTGATTCCCAACCTGCGGATCTACCCTGGCCAACCAACTGCACCCTTCCTCCGGATGCCACTCTACCACAACTGGAGTGACCCAGGAAGGAAGACATGAGACACAGGACATGGGACACGCTGCCATTAAGAGAGACCAGGGCAAAGCTTCAGAAGAGGCCAGCAGATGGACACAAGCCCAGACAACACTGCTTCGGCAAACAGTAGACCTGCCAAGAGACGTGCGTGCTGCAGACCATTCTCGAGGCTCCTGCTGCCCCGCATTATCTGCGTAGCCAAGGAACAGAGCCAGGTGACCGTGGCCTAGATCATTTGTCTTCAATGGCAAGCGATGAGGTTGCCGCTGTCCGGTCAGCAGAGGACACCCATTTCACCCCACAGGATTCTGTCCTGGCCTACCTTCGAAAACTGCAAGCACTGCTTTCTAACGGCCACTCCCTACTGTCGGATCTCAGCCACATGTCTAGTGATGCCCCCCCGCAGGGGCCTTGCCAGACACTCTGACAAAGGTAAACCTTGGGCTTCCCTGGCCTTCCTCATGACCTTGTGCAATATCCTCCTGATAAGGAAATAATGCACAGCAGGGCAGGCTTTTGTCTGTTGCCAAGCCCCCCCACTCCATGTTTTTGCTATGGGATGTTCTGGCCAAGCAACGTAACTGCTGTACGATGTTTCTACCTAAGGTTTCAAGAACGTTCTGCTAACTCTGCCCATCCGCCTCAATGAGCATGCTCGCCTGGTAGGTGGGCCCACCCCCTATCCCCAGATCTCTATATAAGTCTGCTTGTATTACTGTTCAGGGTTCAGACTTTAGAATACTAACTCCTCCGAATCTGTCAGTGTAATAAGGTTCCCTCCATCTCTCCGAGTGCCGCTTGGCTCTCACCACCAGAGACCTTCCAACAGCTGAAACACATGGCTGTAATGCTGAGCTGTTGCACTTCGCTGTAACACACCCAGAGAGGTTCCTCTCCTCTCAAGGATGGTGAAGCCAGACCCAGACTCAGACACAGCTCCTGCCCTCATCCCGGGGACCCTCCCTCTAATAGTGACAGGACTTCCCTTCCTGAGCCAGGATCAGATTTTTTTTTTTTTTTTTGTACCAGGGATTGAACTCAGGACCTTGCACTTTCAAGGCAGGCAGCCGAACCACTGAGCTAAATCCCCGGCCCAGGACCAGCTTCTTAATCAGCTTCTCAAAAGAGAACAACACACACAGAAAAATCTACAAAGATAAGAGAATAACAGAAAAGTAAGAGCAGTACTTGTCTCTGAGGAGGGAGGGGAACAGGGAGGAAAAGAGTCCACAAGGACTCCTAAGGTAATGGGAATTTTCTGCTTTTCAAATTGGGTGCTGGTTACACGTTTGTGTGTGATTCTTCAACTTTACGTGTACATTTTTTATACTTCTCCACCTAGCACACGTCTCACAGTAAGTTGCTTTAGGCCAACTGGGGCCACACGGGGCGGCACGGCTGGCAGAGAGGTGAGGCTGGCTACAAGGGGATCAGGAAGGAGCCAGCCTTGAGAGTGGGAGAATGCAGAGGTCACTGTCTGTGGCTCAGTTTCCTCAAAAGGGGCTCCATGCCCACTGGAGAAGTAGAGGGGGCCAGAGAAGAAGGGGGAAGGGCAGAGCTGCTTGCAGCTCAGTTTGTCCAATTTCCTTCCCTTCCCTCCTTTTCAAGCTGGACCTCAGTCCCACTGGTGGGCACCACGCCGGTTACCCTCAAGCTCGGGGCCTTGCTCCAGTCAGGGTGTCCAAAGATCAAGACTGGGAGCTCTGCAGGGGCCCATGGTGGCTGGGAGAGACAGGCCCCAGGGAGGTTCCCCTCTCAACACATGGCCTTCTGCAATTCACTTGTTTTCACCACCTACTCCACACAACCCTGGCACCACCAAGGGGCTGGCCTTCCTGGGGCGCTGGAGGACAGGAAGGTGCACTGCACCCTCCCATACTCTGCTATAGGCGTTTCTAGTTCTGACTGTGAGGGGTATCATTTAGACTCCCACAAGCTCCAGCGGTACAATCCTTCCAAATGCAATGGTTCTGTAAACTGAACATTTATATTCCCAAACAGTACCTCAACAGGGAAGCCTCCCAGATCACATTCTCAATCTTGCAAGAGACAAAAAAAAATTCTTGTTACTCGTTTAGTTTCTATACCTTCGAGGGTCCAGTTCATGGTCCTTGGATCCAGTCACTAATTCCGGGTGAATTCGCACATGCTCCATCATTGGCTAGAAGAGTTTGGGTTGACAAATAATAGGTGTGAACTTTTGTTGTATACCCACACAATGGAATATTACTTGACAATATAAAGGAATGAAGTGTTCGTGATAATGTTACAATATGGATGAACCTTGAAACACTGTATTGAGAGAAGCTAGTCACAAAGGAGTGCACATTGTATGATCCCATCTATATGAAATACCAGTATATAAGCCTTCATCATAAAGACAAAAGTCGACTAGTGGTTGCTAAGGATGAAGTGGGGTTTTAGGAGAAAGTTTGATTTCTTTTCAAAATTTCCCTACCTACCACTTAATGCAGATGGTGTAAATGTGTAGTGCATCTAAATAGTGTACGAAGTACTATATCAAATAAATAAGCAGCTTTAACTTACCTTGACCACTTCTTCAAAAGTCTCCAAGTTTTCCTTCATACTGTAGTGAGAACGCAGAAAGGAGACAAAGTTGCAAGGGTACATCCCATAAAGGCGATGGAAGAGGGCATAAACACTGGCATGGAGATGGACAAGATAGATTTCTGTCACGTGGCCTAAGAAAGGAAACAAGCAAGAGGAGACTCTGAGCTGCAAACAAGTCTGACATGTGCAAAACAGACATGAACACGCACAGTGCTTTTCTCAAATGCAAACCTGAACACACCAGGTGGTCTCTATTGAAAATCCATCAGTGGCTCCCATGGCCTTTGGACAAACTCTAATCATGTGCCCCCAAAAGGAGCCCAAACATTCCTGCAGTACTGAACCACATTCATGAGGACAGCCATTCTCCTTACAACTTCTAATTGTACTTTTCTCGTCTCTCACTTCAGCATGCATGTCTTGCAAAAAGGACGGACCGCCCTATTCAGTTCTCTATCACCAGTGCCTTGCATAATGCTCAGAGTATAATAAGCACTCAAGTGTTTGTGGAACAAATGTTAAAATTGGGACATAGTCTCAACTATGCAGACTTACAACTAAAGAGCGAAAAAAAACATTATCCACAAATTAGTTGAAATTGCCAGTAGCGGGAGAGTTGGACAATTCCACTAATCTAGCCTTACCTACACCATGAAGAAACCTGAGCTCATCCATCATACTGGACACTCCCTTCTCCCAAGACCCTACTGAATGAGCTGGCATCACAGGGGATTGTTCAATACTGTCCAAGAAACCACAGCATTCTCTCACAGATCTTAACATGTTTCATCCTTTCTATATGACTATTTCATGGCAACATTACCAAAAGATTCTGAATTTTACAGGCTTCTAGCTTCTGACACTTGATAGAGCTGAGCCACCTGCTGATCTAGAAAAATATTCCCAGTGCCCTTGAAACTGGAGTTATAATTAGCACATGCTACATTTTCTCTCCTCCTTCTACATGTACAGTGAACAGGTTCTCAGAACCAAAGTTTTGTGTTCTGGCACAAAAGGTCAGCAGAGTCAAATAAAAATGTTCCACATGTTAAGTCATCTCTGCAACCACATGGACTGAAATTGTTTCAGTTAATGAAAATCAGAAAGGTTTACATCATACTATTCAGTTTCTGATGACTAATCCTTTTAAGCCAACAAAATAAGGACAGTATCTCACCAGGCATGCCTTTAGTACGTGCCTAACTGAACACACACAAGGATTTCCTCATCTGCCCAGTGACCATTCATTTCAGCATCAAATTTCACACATTCTGCCCTCCCAGGACAGGATCTGTTGATCAGTAACCAAGGCAGCATTCACCGGGTGAAGCTTGCCAGAGATATAAGGAATCTGTACCTGGTTTTTTCAGGCACCACGAGGAAAGACGGCCAAAGATATCAAAGAAATCAAGAAGATGCTGCTTCCCAGACTGTGGAATCATGGGTAGCATAGTGATCAACACCAAGACACCTGTTGTGAGGATGACGACGTCAGTGTCCACCTGCAGAAGGGGAGGCAAATAAGAAAAACTTGTTAGGCACAGCACTGGGCAGTAGGTGAAGTTCTAAACACTGAGGGATCACAGATCACATGTTCCTCAATACTCAGTTCCAGATCCCTAGGATTTGAGGGGAAAGCAATGAAATGGACTTAAGAGCAAGTACTGAGCTGCAGACCTGCTGGGATGAATCTGGGAGGACCATTTGCAATATGCCCATACAACCACCACATGCAGGAGACGAGTTTAACTTGGTCTGGAGGCTCCTAAGTCCTAAAACCTCAGGATCCCCTACTTATACTACTTGGATAGTGGCACAGAAGGTGTTTTTTTAGCAGAACACAGAGCACTTCTCTGTTTTCACACATTCAGTCAAATCCTAGGATATTTATTTTTTGTTAAGTCAATTTATTAAAACACTACGTATTGGAAAGTAATTCACTGTGGAGTTATTTGTTGATGCTGTTTTGTTTTTCCATTGCTAGGGATAGAACCCAGGGCTTCATGTATGCTAGGCAAGCACTCTACCATGGAGACATATCCCCAAACCAATTCACTGTTTTATTTTTTAAATGACTACGTACAGAAGAGTAACTGTAGAAGAAATCAGAATAGCACTAACAAGTTAATGGCTCACTTTCATGGCAGTGGAGATCTGCAAATAAACCTCTGCCCATACTTTGTTTAAATATCAAGTCAACTTTAAGATAAATGAAAACACTTGACACCAGTGGGTAATGAATAAGGTCAAGCCAGGTACAGCAGCTCACTTGACTCATAACTAAACTATGGAGCTTTGCTAAGTAACTGAAATTAGGATTTACAAAACAAGACATTAACGAAGAGACCATGCAGGCCAAGGCACCCATTACTCTTATTAGAAAAGAAATCTATGAATCTGGAAATGAAGTTTTAAATATATTTAATTTGTACACCAATCCCCAAGCCTTTTGTTTTGGCAGATACGTGGTAAGAAGAATATATTGGTAGGAGAATTGAGAATATGTAATGGGAATATATCAGTCCCAGCATAAAGGACAACCCTAGTTGCAGTTATATAACATTCTAACTGAAGAACTAGATAATAGTCCATAATTAATATTCAATAGGCTTACTCTTTTGCAAAAGATAAGTGTTTTGCAATCGGAACTAAATGTTTTGCCTCAAAATTGGACTATCTTCTCAACAATCACTTTGCTCAAAGAATAAGTTATTAAAACTGTTTCCCCTGCATTTTTTTTTTTTTTTTTGGTGTTGTTGTCCCTGCTTTTTCTTTACATCAAATGCATGATTTTATGATACCCAACCAATGTGACTCCTTGGGACCCGAGGCATAATAGTTTATCTTTGTTGGCGAAACACAAAAATTAATGAGCATGGTGCTGTCTTAGATGAATCCAAAGGTACTGCCATCCTGGAACAAATACTACTAGATATGTTCACGTCTCTGTGAGGCACAAGCAGTTAATGTTAACCACATTTTCTTATTTTATAGAGAGGAAATAAGCCTAAGAACTATAACAGATTAATAAAATGCCTCTGACTACTTTAGCAAGCCACTGTCAAAACTAAAACCATAAAGTTCAAGTTTTGACTATGTAATAAAAATACACCTAATTCAGTTCCCCAAAAAAAGTATACTGTAACTCAGTAGGACCTATATCAACAAAGCTTTAATTATAGCTGCCACTGGAAGTAACGTGCTCCTAGATGGTTAAAAAGACCTTTAGCCATTTTTACACTGAAAGAGAAATTCCTAAAAGAGAATCCCACAAATTTTTAATGGCAGGAAGCCTAGACAATGCTGAATGCAAAGATATTGGGAGCAGCACAATGTTGAAGCCATCTGACTGAAATTTTACCTTATTTGCTCAGACAAAAGATACTTGGCAGTTGTGGTGACACATCTGTGAATTATTGAGTATTAACTCTAGACACATTACAATAGAGAAACACCTACAAGTTTTTAAATTCCAAAAGTTCACATCCAGCTTGCTTGCTTGAAGTCACTGAGATCACCATTTCACTCAAATTCCCATAGACATCTTACCTTGAGACACTTTAGTAAAGAAGGCAAGAGAGGTGCTTGAGAGAGCTTATGCTTCCACGACGGCTGCAGTCTCACCACATGCCCCAGCAACGACAGGATGGATAAACGGGTGGCGGCTTTGCCCACATATTCATTGATTTTGTCCAAAAGGTGCTAAAAATGCAAAAGAACAAGGGAGAACCTCACATGAATGCATGGAGCTAACCCCACACAGGCAGCAGTGATGGACTTCAGTCTCTCAAGTCTCCCCTCTGATATACACTGCTAAAGAGATCAAATCCAAGATTTTCAAAAGCTGTTAGCAAACAAAACAGGACTGCACTTGGTCTGAGAAGCACCAGTTTGCAATTCATAAAAAATAACACCTATCATACACGGTGCAAGTGAAGAGTGGGGGGACATGACATCAAACACCCTCACATCCTGTCCACTCTTACGATAACCACTGACCCCAAATCTGTGGTAGGTTATCGAAGCTGTGAGGGGTCCTGCTGGAAGCCACTCACTGCTACAACTTTTCAGCATGAGTGATTTGGGCCCACATACAGATCAGGCAATAGCGGAAGTTATAATTTGACTCAGTACAGGGAGGAAAAAGGTATATTTGTAAAAGGAGCACAGTGGCAAGGTCTTCACATCCTAGTGAAGTGCTTGAATATATATATGCACTCAGGACTTACTAGTCTGCAATTACAATGCACTGTTAACTATTCAACACAAACAAAAATATGCACAAGCCAAAAACAGAGAGGAACCCTGTAAGTGCCTGGTGCCACATCACTTATCTGAGCAGGGCTTTTCCCGTACTGCTCTAAGTCTAAAAAGCCTACTCAATGCGTGCACTTAAAAATGGGTAGCTTATGGGTCAAATCGTTACCATACAATTACAGTACTGGGATTATAAAATTTATTTAAATGGCAAGATTCTTTAAAACCCCTGAAATAGGTTTTATTTTGTAAACCTTCCTGGGAATGGAGGTCCCACAAATTATTTTCCTTTGTGTAACCTGGGCGTGACATTATGTGTGGCACACAGAAGTCAGGAGCAGCTCGGTACAAACCATGCAGTGGCCTTGCATTCAAGCTGTTACCTGACACTTGCAGGATGTATCAAATGCCCCCAACTACCTGTCAGCAGTTACCTTATCATGTGGCTCTTGCAAGGTAGTCAGGATGTGCAATACCGGCTGAGAATTGGTTTCTAGGTAATAATCCACCAATGTGTTTACAAGCATAGGACCACGGTCTAAACACAGAAAAAAGCAATTTACATACTTACTTCCTTTAACATTAACATTCTACACTACCTCAAGTAGCTGCCTGTCACAAAATCCAGAAAACATTTTGTTACGTGCTACCCAAAGCTTTATGAAGCATCATGTTTTTGCTTAAATTTAGGGTTAACCATAATTTCAGGCTTATTTGCCTAACTATCCACAAAATGCTATCACTACATTTTTAATTATAAAAATATCCATGCTTATTGTTATGTATTAAGAGTATGAGGGCCGGGGATTTAACTCAGTGGTTCCGGCACCTGCCTCGCAAGGTCCCGAGTAAGTGCAAATCCTCCTTACAACTTACTCCAATCCACTCTTCAGAGATGAGCACCCTTAGTGTGGAACGTGTCCTTTCAAACACTTTCCTACTGGCATAACTGCTCCCAACTTGTCCATATTGATATAATGTTTCTTCTTCTCCACTTTACCACAGCCAGCCTCCCAGACAGCACCTATGACCCACTCCATCCTTTTACTGTCTTCCCAGGGCTCCACTGCAGAGCTTCACACAATTAATTTAACCATTCATCTACCGAAGGATACTTGGTTCTCCAGGTTTTCACCATACTTATTTAAGGCTATAATGAGGTCAGATTCTGCTAAGTGGCCAAATGATATGTACTTTTAACTTCACAACAAATACTCCAAAACAGCTCAGCACCAATTTATACTCCTGCTAACAGTGCTCATTTTTCACATCAGCACTGACTTGTAAACCTGGTAAGCACAAAAACGGTTCTATTTAAGTCTGTATTTCTCTAAAGAGAGTTGATCACTTTTCATATTAAAAACCACAATATGATTTACAGATGAAATAATATGTCTGCATTTTTGCTTTAAATTCTGTGGAGAGAGTTAGTGAGGGAGGATGAAACAAAAATGGCAGGAAGTCTGCATCTGGGTTCCCGGGGTTCCCTGTAAGTGTCACATCCTTGTGTGCGTGCTGATTTCCATAACTGAAGGCTTAAAACACGTAGCATGAATCCCCCAGCGTATGCCCTCTTCTGGTGGTTCAACAAACTCTTCAGAAGATGAAAACTAACATTTGTCCGCTGGATTCCAGCTAGCTCTAGGTCCACCTCTTCCTGTAAGCAGACAAGTTAAAAAGAACACTCCCAGGCTTACCAGAGTTGAGATTCTCTTTAAAGACAGCCATCACATCATCACGCACACCCAGTGTGGGAGAATCCAGCATGGAGAGCAGCTCCCCGACATTCCCTGGCTGGGCCATTCTCTCGCACCACTATGCTGTGCTGGCTCCAGGACTTGCATTAAAGGTTCAGACAGCTCTTCATTAGGGCCACTACCAGACTACAAAAAAGGAAGATGGATGGTGTGAGCAATGGCTCTGTTTCTCCCCACAAAATAGCTGTGATGGCACAGGCCTGTAACCCCTGCACTCTAGGAGTCTGAGGCAGGAGCGTCGCAAGTCGGAGCCCAGCCAGGGCAATTCAGTGTCTTAGTGAGACCTTGTTTCAAAATAAAACATAAAAAGGGATAGGGATGTAGCTCAGTGCCAAGGCCCTGGGTTCCATCCCCAGTATCGCCCCCCCCCCCGAGTAAATTAAATAAATCAACCTGCAAGTGTTCAATAACAGTGAAAATTTGGCCACAACTCTGCTGATAAAGATAGGGCACATGAATAACTCCATCTCTGATAACTTTACAAAGCAAGAGGAGGTCTAAGGGATGCAACAGAAAGGACCCTCCAACACTGATACCATTCAAAACCGGTCACCACAGCAGCTCAGCACAAAGTTTTGTTTGTTTGTTTTCTTTTTTCTGGTATCGGGGATCGAACTCAGGCCCTTGCGCTTGCATAGTAGGCAGCGAAAGCACTGAGCTATATCCCCGGCCCCTCAGCACTAAGTTTTATTTCTACTTCTGACTCTTATCTTGGGTTCCAGCTAAGATTGTTTATGAAACACATGGAAACTGAACAACACACTTCTGAATAATCAATGGGTCACAGAGGAAATTAAAGAATCAGAAAAAAAAAATTTTTTTAAATGAAATCAGACAGTTCCTTCAATTAAATGACAATGCCAATATAACATATCGGAATCTATGAGACACAATGAAAGCAGTCTTACGAGGGAAATTCATAGCACTGAATACTCATATGAGGAAAACAGAGCAAGCCCAATTAAACAACCTGATGCTGAACCTCAAGCTTCTAGAAAAAGAAGAGCAGGACAAACCCAAAGCTCACACAAGGGAAGAAATTATACAGATCAGAGCAGAAATCAATGCAATGGAGACTAAGAGAACGATACAAAAAAATCAATGAAGCCAAGAGTTGGTTCTTCGAAAGAATCAACAAAATTGACAAACATTTAGCCAACTTTATCAGAAAAAGGAAAGAAAAGGCCCAAATTCATGCAATTAGGAATGAAAAGGATGAAATTACAATGGACCCAGAAGAAATCCAGAAGATCAGCAATACCTACTTCCAGAACCTATATGCCAATAAGACAGAAAACACAGAAGAAATGGACAGATTCCTAGATACATATGAATTACCAAAGTTGAATGAAGAAGACCTAAAAATTCTAAACAACTCAATATCAACCAATGAAACTGAAAACATAATTAAAAACTTACCAACTATGAAAAGCCCGGGTCCTGATGGCTTCACTGCTGAATTCTACAAGACTTTTAGAGAGGAACTACTGCCACTACTGTTTAAACTCTTCAATGAAATTGAAAGGGAAGCAATACTCCCAAATTCATTCCTGGAAGCAAGCATCACCTTGATCCCCAAAGCAGAGAAAGACCCAATCAAAAAAGAGAACTATAGACCAATTTTACTAATGAACATAGATGCAAAAATCCTCAATAAGGTACTGGCAAATAGAATGCAGAAGATCATCAAGAAGATCATACACCCTGACCAAGTGGGATTCATGCCAAGGATGCAGGGATGGTTCAACATAAGCAAATCAATCAATGTAATACACTACATCAATACAGCCAAGGACAAAAACCATATGACCATCTCAATAGATGCAGAAAAAGCATTTGACAAAATCCAACAGGAATTCATGATAAAAACCCTACAAAAAATTGGAACAGATGGTCTCTACCTCAATCTGATAAAAGCCATCTATGAAAAACCAACAGCCAATATCATACTAAATGGTCAAAAACTGAAATCCTTCACAATAAAATCAGGAACAAGACAAGGATGTCCACTATTACGACTCCTGTTCAACATAGTTTTGGAAACATTGGCCACGGCAATTAGACAAGAAAAAGAAATAAAAGGAATAAAGACTGGAAACGAAAAAGTCAAACTGTCATTATTTGCAGATGACATGATACTCTATACAGAAGATCCCAAGAACTCCACCAAAAGTCTTCTAGACTTAATACCCAAATTCAGTAAAGCAGCTGATACAAGGACAACACACAAAAATAAAAAGCTTTCCTCTACACAAATAACAGACTCACTAAGAGAGAAATAGGGCAAACAATTCCTTTCACAATAGCACCCAAAAAACAGAAATACCTAGGAATCAACCTAACTAAAGAAATCAAGGACCTCTTCTCTGAAAACTATAACACACTGAAAAGAGAGATTGAAGACGGTATCAGAAAATGGAAAGACATCCCCTGGTCTTGGGTAGGAAGGATCAACATAGTGAAAATGGCCATATTTCCAAAACTGCTGTATAGATTCAATGCAATCCCAAATGAAATCCCAGCAGCATACTTCATGGACCTTGAGAAAACAATCCAAAAATTTATTTGGAATAAGAAGAGACCCAGAATAGCAAAAGCAATTCTAGGTAACAGAGACATAGCAGGGGATATTAAAACCCTAAACTTGAAACTATACTACAAAGCTATTGTGATAAAAACAGAATGGTGCTGGTAAAGAAACAGACCTGACAACCAGTGGAACAGATTAGAAGATGCAGAAACAACTCCAGACACACTCAGCCACCTCATCTTTGACAAAGGAGCCAAATACCCTCACTGAAGGAAGATAACCTCTTTAATAAATGGTGCTGGAAAAATTGGGTTTCAACTTGCCAAAGATTAAAACTAGAACTGTATCTCTCACCGTGCACTAAAGTAAAATTGAAATGGATTAAAGATCTAAATATTAAAACAGAAATGCTGAATCACCTGGAACAGAGGTTAGGCAGAACTCTTGAAGACATTGGTGTAAGAAAAGATTTTATGAACAAAACCTCAGTTGCCTGTGAACTAGCACAAACAATCAACAAGTGGAATCTTTTTCTTATTAAAAAGCTTCTGGACAGCAAGAGAAACCACCAACAGAATGAAGAAACAACCCACAATGTGGGAAAAAATTTTCACCTGCTCTTCCTCAAAGGTCTACTATCTAGAATCTATAAAGATCTTTAAAAGAAATCAGACCTCCCGAATTTAAAGACCCAATCCAAAAATGGGCATCTGAAATGAACAGACATTTCTCAGACAAAGAAGTAGAAACAGCAAATAAACACATGAAAAAATGTTCAACATTACTGGTCATTTGAAAGATGCAAATGAAAATAATGCTGAGATTCCACCTCACCCCAGGAAGAATGGCTGCTACCAAGAAATCAACCAATAACAAATGCTGGTGGGGCTGTGGGGGAAAGAAGAACCCTACTCCATTGTTGGTGGGAGTGTAGACTGGTGCAACCACTGTGGAAATCAGTATGGAGATACCTCAAAGAGTTAGGACTGGAAGTTCCATTTGACCCCACTATTCCCCTGCTGGGTATCTTCCCCAAAGAATTAAAAGAATCATACCACAGTGATATACGTGCACCCATGTTCATAGCAGCACAGTTTGTAATAGCTAAAACTTGGAAACAGCCCAAGTGCCCATCAACTGGAGACTGGATAAAGAAAATGTGGTTTTTTAATAAAATGGAGTACTACTCAGCCATAAAAAATGAGAAATCAGAGACATCTATTGCTAAATGGATGCACATTGAGGCAATACTCTTAAGTGAAATAAATAGGACACACATCTGTAAATACCGAATAGTTTCTCTAGTGTGAGAAACTGAAAGTGTAAATCAGGACTAAAAGGTATAATAGATAATGTGAAATAGGAAGAAAAGGGGCAAAGGGGAAGGGGAAGTGGGAGGGGTGGGGAATGGAATATGAGAAAATGAAAAAATGGAAACAAAGTCTTTGTAAATAGGGAGGGGTGGAGGGGTTGAAGTGAGGGCAGGGGAAGGGGGAAAAATAAGAACCAAGAGAGATTACATGAAGGTGCAAATTTCCAATGATGAATGTCACTGTATACCTAAAATGTACCAATAAAATTAAATTTTACAAAAAGATTGTTTATGATTCAAATCACTGATCAAAAAGAACTAGAAGCACAATATTTTCCTTGTCCCAATCCCATCAATGTCTAAAAGTTAGAATACCTGGTTAGGCCACAGGTTTGTTCAGCCCAACAGCTGGTGTGAACCGAGGATCACTTGTTCATGGCGTACTCGCTTCTCCCAGAAACCTACCAGATACCCAAAAGCCACTGGCTACAGATACAGACGGGAACCAGTAGAGCAAACCTTCAATGTATCAGCTCCAGCTCTTCTTGGCAGTGGAGCAGTTGATCTGTCTTTATGTATAAAAGTAGCTTGTTCCTCAAGTGTTACTGTGCTCATTTATGATTTTTTCCTCCACTCTGGACTCTAAAGCTGTACTTTTAAATTAAGGAATAATAGCTACCATTTATAAGCCTGGCACTACAACCATCAGTGCATCTACACCTTATGCTACTACCTTGTGGTTTTCATTTCTGTCCACACTGTATGCAGGAAAAGAAACCAACATTAAGCCCTTGGCTCTGGATCTCAGAGCAAGCAAGAGACAAAAGCAGGGTGGGGGGACTGAAAACTGAGCCCAGTTCTGCCTAACTCCAAAGCCCAAAGCCTGGGAACATGACATACAGCTAACCTGTGACTTTGACCATCACAGCAAATGCTATGAGCTAAGCAGGCATCATCCTTACTTTACAAACGGGAATATGGACACCCAAAAAGGATAATTTTGCCAAGGTGAAATGGTAAAGTATAACTTGAACAGCCCAATTCCCCGGCCAATGATTATGTATGGCATTAAGGTATATTCCTATTTGCTCTTGTTTAGTTAGCGAAAGTAGTTCTTAAGTTTTCGTGTGCATCAAAATCACTGGGAATTCCTGTTAGAAATGGAATTTCCTTGGCCCATTCCAAAACTCAATTTTGGGCTCAGGCTTTTTTCCCCTCAAGTATTAGCGACTGAACCCAGGGCCTTTACATTGATCAACAAATGCAGTTTTGTTTGTTTTGTTT